TCCAATCTATGAATATTATTTTTATAAATGGTATAAACTAGTGCTGTATACCTTACTTCAAAAAGGAAGCTAGTTACATCTGAAAAAAGAAACAGGTATTACTCGCTTTTCAAAAAAGTAACGGGTTACTCGCTACTTAAAAAATTAAATATATACAAAACAAATTTTTCCCCATATATATAATATATAAATAAAATTATGCAAAAAATAATATATAATAAGATATCCTTTTTTATATACAATTTATAAATAAAATATAATATTATAAAGATAAGATATTTTTGTAATAATTTTTTATTTATTTTTAACGACTATTGAAAATTTTGATCAGATAAACAAGAATGCTTAGTGCTAAACACAGTTTTCGCTGTGCCAAACACCCGTTCAAATGGTGCAGAAGATGAGAGGGATATTATATTGAATAAAATTTTAATTGGGAGAATTTAAAATATAGAATATTTGAAAAAAGCTTAGTTCATCGTCAAAAGAATCTTCATTGGATCCTAATCCAATTTTTATTTATCTTTACTAAAAAATAATCTGTACGTATTGTTTTTTAAAGGAATCAAGTCTGCTTTTTCTTTGTCAAGATTTGTTCTCAAAGGAAATAAGTTCAAGCTAGCTTCCTTCACTTGCATCTAGTTTTATGAGGATCAATCTGATTTAAATAGCGTTGCTGATAATTAATATTCATTTGAAATAAATATTATCAAAATATAAATTCTGAACAATACTTCAACTATATAGCTTTGAATTGCAATAATACATAGCTTTTAAATTTATAATAGTTATCATGGCAGTGAGAATTCCCAAATGCATTTTGTTTTCTCTCTAAAATAGGAATAGTGGTAGGAACAGGTTCCATAACCTATAAAATCATATATATAGCCATACAATATCTATGAACGACTTGTCATTATCTGAAAATCTCAATAAATTAGTCACATTTGTGGGCATTCTCCTTAATAAGACTATATTAATTTCACGGAGTTATAGAAAATATTCCATCTTGTTATAACCAGTTTAATTAGATATCCAGTGGCGTAGCTAAGAATTTTCCTTAGAGGGGGTCAATACATATAAAAGCCTGGGGGTTTGGTTTATCTTACACCATATCTTCGATAATATATAATAAATATATTTTTTAAATGCATCAATAATATGTTATTATAATTTAGTAGATTATTCTCAATCAGTGACCCCTACACTTTTTGAGGGATAGAAGCAGAATACCCCCCTAAAGTACCCCCCCCCCATTGTAAATTATTTTTTGACACCAATAAATTTCAAAAATAATTTTTATTGCATCAATATTTATTATAATATAAATATAATGTAAAAAATATATGCTTTAAAAATATTATTTTTAAATTAATTATTTAGATAAATTAGGGGAAGAGAAAGCAAAAGAATTTATAATTTTATCAATATTTAATTGTTTAAATAAATTATTTTCCATTGATAAAATGATTAAATTATTAAGAAATGGATCTTTCATGACACTACGAAGTCTTGTTTTAATTAGTTTAATTTTACTCATGACCCTTTCGGCAGTACATGATGTAGTAGGAATAGTTAATAAATATTTATATAAAATTGTTAGGGAAAGCAGAAAAATTTATAAGCAGATGATAAGGTAAAATAAATGAATAGTTTTTCCAGTCTGAATCATTCATCTCAGAATTATTATCATCATCAGAAGAAGCTAAATAATGTATTAGTAAAAATATTTTAATTAAATAAATTTACAATTCTCAGAATCTGACAAATCTTCTTTAACCTCTAGGTCACGAGTAATAATTATGTCCCCCGTTTTAGCCATTTTATAAATATTTCTAAACATCAACATTTCCTCAAAAACTTGACTTGTATTTAATTGATAAAATTCACAGATATCCTTGATATCATCTTTAACAATTGCCTTTTCCGCCATTCCCTTTGGGGTAAAAAATGATGTTTGACTCAAAAATTTTATCGATTCATCGTTAAATCTTTCACTATACTGCATAATAATTAAATCAAGTGCAGCATAAAACACACTGATTTTAAAGCTAAAATAAAATATTATATTTAATGATGAAAGTATATATATATATCTCCTTTTTGGATTGTAATGTTTGAAGTCTTGAACTTTCAAAATCAAAAGGTAAATTTCTCTTCTTCATAAAATCTTGGGCCTTTGAAAAGACATCCAAAAATTCAGTGTTATTATCTATTTTAGGATTATAAAATAATAAAAGATAATAATTTAAATTATACTTCTCATACTAATCAGGCAATCTTTTACCAATTGAATTTGATTTATTGCAAACCCTATATCCTTCGAAATGGTTTGCAATTTTGTACAAGCCAAGCTTGTTATCAACAATATTTTATCCAAAACACATAGTGATAAAATAAAATCAAATGTTTCTATTCTATAAACTATAGCACTAGCCATAGTGGAAGTGGCAGGATCTTCAGAATCCTTTAAATTTGCCAAAGCTGCCCTCAAAGCATCATAAAGTAGGAAAAAAATTACAATCGCCTTATATGATGTTAGCCAGCTTCTATAAATATAAAATAAACATTATATATCGAAACAATTAAGATAATATTGCCGAGTGGTATTCTTGATGCGTAAAAATCTATGTGATTTTGTCAGTAAATCACTCTGACATGTTTTGAGTACTTCATATCTTTTAACACCATTAAAATATACGTAAATTTCGTCTAATATTCCCAAGACATTTCGCAGCTCTTTTACTGATTGGCATAATTGAACAACTATTAAATTTAATCGATGACAATAGCACCAAATTAAAGCTGCCTTTGGCGCCTCCGCTCTAATCGAAGCCTGCACTCCATTAATTCTTCCACTCATGTTTGAGGCGCCATCATAGCTTTGTCCCACTAGGAATTCGAGGGGTAGATTCATGGAGCCAAGCTTGGATATTATATTCTTTTTAATATCGAGGCCCGTTGTATTGTACAATAAATGTCTATCAGCCTTTCAACGGGCTTAGGTGTCTCGCTATTTTCAACATATCTCACTATCAAAGCTATTGCTTCTGATTTCGATACATCATATGTGCCATCAACTATAATTGAATAGCACCTGTTGAATTCAATCTCCTTTTGAATTTTTTTATAACCATATTTTTCATGGTTTCAATAAGAATATTTATGTTATTATATGATAACAGATTTGAATATAATTTAGATTTTAATCCCTTAATTTTTTTCTCACTTCTTCTTTCTTCATTATCTTGTATATACATTTTAAGAACAGGCTCAGAATCTGCAATAAGTTTAATAAGGCTCATCATATTGCCATCTTGTTGCCTGTTCCTCCAGAAGGCTTGATTGCGAGATAAGCATTTATATTTTTTTTGGTTAATATTTTTGGGCATATTTTGACAATGATCTAAAAATTATAAATGATTATATATAAGATTTAATATTTAAATTTTTACTATTCCCTTTGATAAAATTTTAATTTTGCGCCAAATCTTGAAAGTGGAAAAATAATTTTATGATAAGAAATATCGGATAACAAACTAATTTGCTAAACATCGACCATAAAAATTTTAAAAAAAATAAAATAAAAAAATTTTTTTTAAAAAATTTTAAAATAAAAAAATTAAAAAATTTAAAAAAAAAAAAGTACCCCCATAGAAATTTATAGAAGCAGTTGCTTCGGACCCCCCCCCCCGTTGTAGGGGTCACTGTTCTCAATGACTTAATTATATTATCCAGAATAATTTCAATAGTAATATAATATCCTTCCATATACATCAAAACCAGAAAAATATCAATGGTATTTATTTGATATAAAGTCACTTTTCTTAAGTCTTTTGAACGTATAATCTAAAAAAAAATTTTGCTCTGGGAGGGGTCCAAACCCGAAAACCACCCCCGTAGCTACGCCACTGTAGATATCCCATCTTTTCCTTAAAAATGGCTGCACAGTTAGCAGAATGCCCATGTTTATTCCACAATTGAGGTTAAAATATTTGAGTTGGGACACAATTTATACTAAAATGTAAACTTTATACCCTTAGTTTTACCCAATGGTGTAAAAAATGTTTCATACTAAAGCCAAGACAGGCTTTACTCATCTTCATCTGAAGAAAAGTACAATTGACATAATATTCTTTATGAAATAAATTATAATATTAATAAGAATAAAAATTTATGATTATATTAATTTAAATTAACAATATTGACTGAAAATTAACAACGAAAATTTAAAATAAAAATTAACGAATTTGGTTGTTGATGTGAATTAAAAACTCAACTTATATTTATAAAATTTAAATATATAAAAGTAATTTTATAATACAATAAAATATGATTTCCCTTTAAGAAAAATATGAAGTAACGTTTTGCGTTGCCATTACTCAAATTAGAGATCTGCAAAGTTAGGCCGGCCCGGATTCGGGCATAACTCTATTTCAAATAATCGGGTTCGGGCAGGGCCTAATATTTTTAAAAATAATCGGGTTCGGGCCGGGCCTTATATTTAAAAAAAAATTCAAGCCGGGTCGGGTCTGACCTTGGAAATATTATTAAATATATCTAAATTTATCAATTTTATATTGAATTTTTTATGTAAAATAAAAATTTTTGATTTAATTTATTATAACATATGTCTTTTATTTTAAGTAATTATAAAAATTAATTTCTATATTTAAATAAATTCGGGCCTGGCCGGCCCGGTAAATTTATTTAAAATAAATTTTGGGTTCGGGCCGGGCCGGCAAAACTTTTTAAAAAAATTTCGGGTTCGGGTCGGCAAAACTTTTTTAAAAAATTTTCGGGCCGGGCCGGCTTGAAAAATTAGGCCCGATGCAGATCACTAACTCAAATATCACTTGAAGAAGACGAATGGCGTTCCTTTTCTTCAAAAAAGGTAATGACTTTAGACTTTATTTTTTGACTTTACTATACAGCACTAGTATAAACTATTATTTCTCTCATTTTTTTCATAATTTTCTATAATTTATTTGTTTAAAAAGGGGTAGGAAGAGATTCGTTTCAGAAGGGGATGAAGGATTGCTCAAAGATACGATCCGCGATTTCAAATAACGATCAAATTTTTACCCTTCATATTTAGTATATCGTTTATTTTTGTTAGAACATTTAATTTTTACGAAACTAATTTTTATATCATCTTTTATGAATATATTTTAAGATAATAATTTTTTTGATGAATTATATTAATTTGAAGAAAAGTATATGCAGGTTTTCATTATAATTTTACTTAATCAATATAATTTTATTTGAGTTCAATATTTTGACACTTATTAATCTTGTTTTTTCATCATTGGACATTAAATATTTGTACTAGATATTATTATTAAAATTTTGTAAAAATTTAAACTAAAATAAAACGATTATTAATAAAGTTTATTACAAACATTTTCAAATCTATTCAATAAATATTTTATTAGAAAAAATTAATCAAAAAAATATATTTAATTTATAATGTTTCAATATGTTTTCGAATAACAATTAGAAAAACACTAATCAGTATAGTTTTATTTTTTCCCCTACCATGTCATATATATTTTTTGTTTATATTATAATTTCAATACAGCTAAGATCTATCATTTTAATTATTATTCAAACTATTAAATAGAGTCGCATGCAAGATATGATTTTTTAACATGCATTATTTATAGCATAATATAATCGAATAAAATGTAAAGGTTTCATGATTTAAATTGGATTATTTTGTTTTTTTCGAGATCAAATAATTAAAAAAGATATATCGAAGACGTAGATTCTTCGTCCCAATATATATCACCAGTAACATTAATATTATTGACTGACGATAGTGCGCACAAATTGAGTGTTGCAACGCTCCCTTTTAAAATCTAATAATGCATTTTAAATGGTATTGTGCAAATTGGATTTTTTTTACGGCAAGCGTTAAAAAAAAGCAATCTGGTTTGATTTTTTTTATTTTTGCGGGAAAATTTAAAATGGATACAAAATTGTTAGTATAAATTTATCTCATATATTAATTGATATTATAACATTTAGAATATATTAAATGATATTTTATATAATATATTCACTTATATTCAGAGTTGTTAAAGTATCTAGATATAAAAATGTAGTATCTGTATCTAGATAGATTTTTTAGGAAGGTATTTGTATCTAGATATTTTTTTAGAGGTATCTGTATCTGTTTTTAGATACTTTTTAAGATACATTTTATATACTTCTTTTTTTATTATAAATAAAAATATTTGACTGTAAAATTTATTTTATTTCATATGAGCTTATGAAATAAATAAATATATATATAATATATTAATAATGCTATAATAAAGAATTATATATACATAAAATATTAAAACTTATATATAAAAAATATATATAAATAATATATTCATTAATTTAAATATTATGTCCGAGTTTATCAATAAACCATACAAATTTTAATATTACAATATGGAAATGGTAAATTTTATTTTATAACTAAATTTTTAAGTTTATATATTTATTTAGATCTATATCATGAAGAAGAGGAAGCAACAACAAGTTCTATTGCTTTACCATGGCCAATTTATAGAGCATATTTTAAAATAATATCTCAAAACAAAGAAAACAATTCTCTGATGGTAAAATGTTTGCCGTGTCTACCTAAAAATACAAAAATATCCGTCAGTATGACTTCAACGTGCAATATCGTGAAGCACATAAGGGTATAGATATTATATATTTAAAATTCTAATTTAAATTTTAAGAGAAAACATCCAACCTTTTTAACAAAAATAAAAAAGGGGAAGGAAAATAAAATTACCAAAGAAAATATTGGACAAGGCTCATTCTCCAATAATATATTTGCTAAAAGACCTTTGACTTTAACTCAAGGCACTTTAGATGATTTAATTATTGCTTTTATTATAGATGACATGCAGTCATTTTCAATTGTTGAAAATCCTTCTTTTAAAAAAATGATCAACACTTTGGCTCCACACAAAAATATAATTTGCCGAAGACAGTTGTTGGTAGAATTTCCCAAAGATGGGAAAATGAAAAGAAAGAAATAATTAAAAGCCTTATAGAACCATCATTAATATGCACAACAGCAGATTGTTGGAGTGCCTATCGCCGATATAGCTAACATTTAAATTTGTATAATAATTAAGAATAAATTATTTCAGCAATTTTAAGAAATTTTAATTTTTAGTTCATACATAGGAGTAACCGCTCACTATATAAATCCAATAAGTTTGGAAAGAAAAAATATAGCGTTGGCTTGTAAAAGAATGACTGGTAGTCATACCTATGATAAAATAGCAAAAAATTTACAAGATATAGCTAAGGATTATTGCATTCAAAATAAAATTTCAAAGACCATTACAGATAATGCCAAAAATTTCATAAAATGTTTTAGGTTTATTTTATTATAAATAAATATAAACATAATATATGATTGATTACTTAATTTATTAAAGAGTTTTCAAGCCAATTGAAAATGATACAAGTGAATCAATTGATGATCTGGAAGATGAAGCAGTTGTGCCAATTTCTATATCAAATCTTTATAATACTGCACAGGTTTCTGAATTATCAGAATCATTTAGTTTACCTCATCACCAATGTTGTGCCAGTCACACATTGAATCTTATAGCCACTGTGGATGCCAATAGAGCCATGCAGTGTAAACAATATCAGAGGGTAAAACTAATTTTAATTAAATAAGTAATATTTTCTTCATTAGATATATAGCGCAACACTACATAAATGCCAAAATATATGGAATAGGGAAAATAAGTCTTCTATTTCATCTGAGATTATTAAGGAATATATTGGTCGTTATTTTATGTCCTAATATAACTAGATGGAACTCCACCTATAATGCCTTACAATTAATGTCAGAAATTATAAAAACTAAATCTGACAAAGTGGACAAGATATGTGATGGAATAAAACTACCTAGGTTTTTACCTAATGAATGTGATTTTATTCATGAATATTGATTAGTAAGTTATAAATAATATTTATATATATCGCATTATTTTAAATTAGCTAATGAAGCCAATAGCTAATTCCCTTGATATTTTGCAGGGAGATAAGTATATGTACACAGCTTATTACTGTGCAACTATTTCACAACTTATTATCAAATTAAAGAATTTTAAAGAAATGAACCTGAGATTCTGTTTACCACTCTTAGATGCCTTACTTAAAGGGATTTAGGATAGGTAAATTAATATAATAAATTAAAAATATTTAATAATTCTAGGTTTATTGTGACCTTATTTGAAGATGATAATATTATAGCAACCATGCTCCACCCTTTTTTTAAACTTGATTGGACATGGTTGCAAATGGAAGAAGATCTTAATAAAAGAAAACAATTGATACAAAGATTAGCTGGTGAATTATCAAAGTCATCAACTGACTGCAAGCAAATAACCTGCCAAAAAAAACAAATAATTTAATTTCAGATTTTTTCAGTACCCTACAGCAGATATAATATCTAATAATTATTTAAATTTTGATAATCAACAAATTTTAAATAAATTTTTCAAAAATGAATGTAGAAACTTTAGCATTTTTAAAGAATACCCTGATATAAAATTGTTATTTATTAAATATAACACTACAATTCCTTCAAGCGCCCCTGTGGAAAGACTATTTAGTGTTGCTAAAAATGTCTTTACAGATAAACGAGGATGCCTAAATGATCAAAATTTTGAAAATATTTTATTACTGAAATCTAATAATTATTTAATCATATATTATATTAAAATCATTATTTTAGTTATATTCTGATAAATGTTATATCGCGTCAATAAATCTTTTAGCTCATTTCATGAATTTTCACAATATAATATTAATTTAGGTTTATGCAAACCTATAAGAGCATAATAAAAAATGTATCGGTATACAGATACATTTAAAAATTGTATCTGTATCTTGATAACTTTTTAGACACTCTATATGTATCTAGATAACTTTTGAGACTATGTATCTGTATCTAGATCCATTTAAAAAGTATCTTTTAACAACACTGGAAAATAATAAATAATTATTATATTTTGAAAAAAACTGATTTTTAATTATTACTTAAATTCTGTAATATGATGAATTGAAATAAATTTGTTACTTGTAATAAAAAAAATTTTCATGACTAGGTTATTAGCAAAATACGAAAATTACTAAAATTGATACCAAGATTCATATAGGACGAAGATTCTAGAAGCACAAAAGCAATTTAAAAAATAAATAAATAAAAATTCTAAAATAAATTTTACTATTATTATCATTACTAGATGATAACCCGTCAAAAATGATGGGGAATTAGAATTTTCTTCTTTACTCAATGATTTTTTTTAGAAAATCCCTCAGATGGCAGATTCAATAATTGCTGTCATAAGGTGAGGATAGTTATAATAGATAGATTGAGAACATAAATAAAAATTTTACAGATTTTTGATAGCCCGTCAAGAATGACTGGAAATACGAATTTTATTCTTTTTCCAATGATGGATGAATAATAAATTTTACCTTTATTTGATGATGAATGAATTAAAAAATTTTCTATCATGAGGTTCTAGCAAGAATATATATTTTATATTATAAATTAATATAAATGAATAAAAATTTAGTTTAAAAGATTTTTTATTGTGCACATTAATTAAAATTACTAACCTTATATACTTCATATAAACATATTTTATAAAATATAATAAAAAATTTTAGAATAATTAATTATCACATCACATAAAATAAGAAAATTTCTGATTCATTCATCATCAAATAAAGGTAAAATTTATTATTCGTCCATCATTCAATATAAAAGAAAATTCATTCCCCCTCATTCTTGATGGGCTATCAGTTAGTAACTTATATTTTTGATAACGGGTTATTAAAAAATCCCTAAAATATATGTAAATTTAAGGATAGGTCAAACAGGCATTATTTTTAATTGTTATTTATGCTAAAAAAATGGATTAATATTTCCTCCATATATAACTTCACAATGGCTTTCTTTATATTTCCTTGTGTCCAACAATTTCTTCAATCCAGCAATTATCAGAAATTTTTTTATCTATGGTTTTTGCCCATTCCTTTATTCAAATAAAGTTATATGGGAAATGAAATAATTCAGTTATTGAAATTAGAGATCTTCACGGGCCTTGATTTATTTATCAGCCTCCAGTCTAGGTCAGCAGTAAAAAATAATTTGCAGGCTTATTCCATATTTAATAAAAAAAAATTCAAACCCAAGCCTATCATAAGTTTCAAAAAATTTTGCAAGTTCATATCCAAAAATTTATTGCTTTAAATGAAAATAAACAATAAGTTTTTTTACGGAATCACTTTGTTTGCAATACTGAAATTTATTATCATAAAAGAAAAAATATCCAATATATTTTTAAGTTAGTCGTTTAATAGCTAAATTTAAATAAAATTTTTTTAGGCTTTTTATCAAAAACCCAGTTCTGGCCCATGCATATTAGTAAATATATTATTTATTCTAAAAAATGGATTATTATTTCCTCCATATATAACTTCATAATGGCTTTCTTTATTTCATTGTGTCCAACTATTTCTTGAATCTAGCAAT